CTAGCAGGTTTACCTGACATGAGATGGATACTCCCTCTAGCCAGTACTCATGTCCCGAAAGTGCCAGCTGTGAACCTTATGGGATGGGCACATAAGAACCTCTGAGGAAGGTGGGGATTGGGCCTTACTGTGTAGGCTTAGTAAGATCTAGGGGCTGGACGTCTGGTCCACTGAGGCTTCCCAGCCAGTGTGGCAGTTCACCAACAAAACTAGAGGTCTGGGGTGAGTAAGCAGTCCGGGTAGATGGAGAGGCATTGGTTCCATCCTTAGAAGTGGGGTTGGAGTCAGGACAAGGAAGCATGTTTAATCCCAGTCTTTGGAAGCAAAGGGGGATTAAGTTTCAGGCTGTCCTGGAACTAGGGTGGCCTGCCACCTGCACCCTCCCCCAACATCCCCATCCCCCACTTAATAATAAAGACTTTGAAGCTGGCCAGGCTTCTCTAATCCTGCCTTCATGGCACCTTAGAGATTGTTTCTGCTATTGGGAATTCATCTTTCTTCTGCTCTTGGAAGCCAGAAAGAGAGCGCCCCAGCAGCCTAGCATGCATGGGTCATAGGCAGAGGGACCTGTTGGCCTCTCCTATGAAACTCCTGTCCCAAACCTAAGGTTCTGCCATCCCTGCTGTAAGTGGTCAGAGCAGTGGCTGGGAATGTCTTGAGCCACATGCATCTGTTTTCCTGGCTAAAGAAACAAGGACAGGTATTCCAGGCTGACCTTTGGCAATGTTCTGGATGAGTGGAGTCAGGATACCGAGTGGGAGGTATAAGGCTCATAGTCCAGCACGCTGGGGTATTCTGAGTCATGGTATGCAATGCACCCGTGTTGTGTCCCAATAGGGATCTGGTGCCTGTTAGGACTGGAGGAGGAAGGCACTAGGTCCAGGTCCAGGGACCCAGTGGCCAGAGGCAGTGTGCAGATGTGCAGTTGACCTGGAGTGAGACAGGTAACTCCAGACCTTGTGTTCACGTCTGTGCTTTGCCTTGCAGCCCCCTGAGCAGCCACCGTACCCACACCACCAAGGTGGACCGCCCCATTGCCCACCCTGGAACAACAGCCATGAGGGCATGTGGGGTGAGCAGCGAGGGGACCCTGGCTGGAACGGGCAGCGAGATGCTCCATGGAACAACCAGCCAGATCCCAATTGGAATAACCAGTTTGAAGGACCATGGAACAATCAGCATGAGCCACCACCCTGGGGTGGTGCCCAGCGTGAGCCGCCCTTCCGGATGCAGCGGCCCCCCCACTTCCGTGGGCCCTTCCCACCCCACCAGCAGCACCCACAGTTCAACCAACCTCCACATCCCCACAACTTCAACCGTTTCCCGCCCCGCTTCATGCAGGATGACTTCCCCCCTCGTCACCCTTTTGAGAGGCCACCCTACCCTCACCGCTTTGACTATCCCCAGGGAGACTTCCCAGCAGGTGAGTAGGCAATGTAGGAAGGTCCATTGAGGGTGTCTCCTGCCTGCCCCTCTGCATCTGCCTGTCAGTGCTGTGGAAGTGACAAGCATAGGGCAAGTGTGGAATGGGCAGACAGGGATAGCCTCCACCCTGCGCCCACACGTGCTAGGAGCCAGGCCCCCTACCAGGGGTGCTAAGGCATCCCTGGAGCCCCTGGCACACAGGCCAGGAGGAACAGCCAGCCAGACTTTGCCAGTCTGTAGTTCAAGTACAATTTTCCTGCCCTGGCCATGTGGCTGGCTGCTTCCTTGCTTGAGGCTATGCCTGTGTCTCATCTCTTACGGTTGCTGTCAGCCTGAGCTGCACACAGAAGCTCCAGACAGAGGTTCATTTCTGTGCTAATGATCCACAGGGCTCAGGGCTGGCCTCCCTCTGCCTGTGTCCTTCCTGCTCTCTTCGAAGGGCCCCAGGCAGTTGGGTTAGAGTCCACCAGGGACCTGGCTTTACTGTTACCCTTTGAGCCCAGCTGCTAGCTCACCTGTGCTCAGGTCCCAACAAAGAAGGCTTCAGCACATTCTCAATGAGAATGTGGAAGTTGAACTTGCTGCCACTGGATGCTGTGGTGGTCTTACAGTCTTCTCGCTTGAGTCCCCTTAGTTGCACCCATGTCTGTGACTGTGAGACCCCAAGTGCTGGCTTCTGTCTTAACTCCTTTGCAGAACCCTGATGGCCCTTCCACCAGATTTGACTACTCCAGCCAGCTGGAGATAATGTTTTGTTTTTTCAGACATGGGACCCCCTCATCACCACCCTGGCCACCGCATGCCACACCCTGGGATCAATGAGCACCCGCCTTGGGCTGGGCCCCAGCACCCTGACTTTGGCCCTCCTCCCCACGGCTTCAATGGCCAGCCTCCCCACATGCGGCGACAGGGCCCACCTCACATCAACCATGATGACCCCAGCCTGGTCCCCAATGTGCCCTACTTCGATCTTCCAGCGGGGTTAATGGCCCCCCTTGTGAAGGTGATACTGGGCCCTGGCCTGGGAGGTTGAGCATGGGAGGGGGCATGCTGGTTTTGTCAGGCTAAGTTTCTGCCTTGTTGCTAAATTCCACTGGGTGGCCAAGTCGGACTTCTCAGGGCCCAGGCAACACCTGTGTTCTCCTACAGCTGGAGGACCATGAGTACAAGCCTCTGGACCCCAAAGACATCCGCTTGCCACCCCCCATGCCTCCCAGTGAGAGGCTGCTTGCAGCTGTGGAGGCCTTCTACAGCCCACCCTCCCATGACAGGCCGAGGAACAGGTAGGGAAGCTGGGCCCTAAAGAGCCCCACCCTCCAAGTCTGTCCCACAGATAAGGAACTGCATCCTCTGAACACTATATTGGGCGTGGAGTGGTGGCCTTGTTCCGCCCAGCCTCAGCCCAGCCTGCCATGGCAGACACTAACAGCAGCAGTGGGCATGTTTATGAGGTCACCTGGAATTTGGGAGGAGGGCTGGACACCCATCAGAGCCCCAGCTGCCTCTTGGTTGGTTAGCTTCCTGGTGCAGGGGAACCTCTTCCTGGCCCCTTCCCCGACATGGGGTCTGACCCAGGCCTCTCATGGGGACCATGTCATGCAGTGAGGGCTGGGAGCAGAATGGCCTCTATGAGTTCTTTCGAGCCAAGATGCGAGCACGGCGGCGCAAAGGCCAGGAGAAGAGGAACAGGTGAGCTATGCTGGTTTCATGGGGGTGGCATTGTGGATATAGTTGCTGAAATTGCTGACCTCACTGTGCCATTTCCCTGCAGCGGCCCCTCCAGGTCACGCAGTCGGTCCAAGAGCCGAGGCCGCTCCTCATCTCGCTCCAGCTCACGATCCTCCAAGTCCTCCCGTTCCTCCTCCCGTTCACGGTCCCGGTCTCGGTCCCGCTCCTCTTCCCGCTCTAGGTCCAGGTAGGCACGTAGGGACCTCAGAAAGCCCAAGTGTACTGCTCCTGCCCTTGCCCCATTGTCCTGCTGTCCCCACAGAAGCCGCAGCCGGTCGCGGTCCTCCAGAAGCCGCTCGCGCTCCAGGTCCAGGTCCAGGTCCAAGTCCTATTCCCCTGGGAGGCGGCGGCGCTCCAGGTCCCGGAGCCCAACCCCACCGTAAGCCACTAGTGTGAGAGTTGCCAAAGAGTGGGGTGGCACCCCTCCCACCACTGGGCCCTTTCCTTTCATGCTTAACTGGCTACTCTCAGGGGCCTGTTGTAGGGATTGATTGACAGCTTACACATAGCTCTTCATTCCAGCTCTGCAGCCGGCCTGGGTTCGAATTCAGCACCTCCCATACCAGACTCCAGGCTTGGAGAAGAGAATAAAGGCCATCAGATGCTGGTGAAGATGGGTGAGTATACCCAGGGCAGTGCCAGCTTCCTGGAGTGACTACATATTGGGATCCTGCTGGGGGGTTCAGGTAGCCACTCCCTGGGGACATGGTCACAGCCCTGCCTTCTATGTCCTTTCCCCTCTGAAGGCTGGAGTGGGTCTGGTGGCCTTGGTGCAAAGGAACAGGGCATCCAGGACCCCATTAAGGGTGGTGATGTCCGGGATAAATGGGACCAGTACAAGGGCGTGGGCGTGGCTCTGGACGACCCTTATGAGAACTACCGTCGCAACAAGAGCTATTCCTTCATCGCCCGCATGAAAGCGCGAGATGAGTGTGAGTAGTAGGTGATGGTGGGTGTGGGTGGACACGGTGGGCTTAGCTTCGTGCGGGAAAGGTGGGGGTGACAGCCCTGTTCTCATACAGTTTCCACGTTTGGGGCTCGAAAGGAAGAGAAGGAAGACTGACCACAGGCCTCAGCTTCGCAGTGTGGAAGGGCTTGTCCTGCATTTGCCCTGGAGGAGGTGCTGCAGATACTACTCGCAGTGCCCAGATAGCAAAACTCAACACCACTCCACCATCCCCCAGCCCAGAGCCTGAGTCCCACCCCACAGTGCTGCACAGCCCAGAGCCCAGTAGTGAGAAGGCTGCCTGCAGCGAGCACAGCAACCAGAATAGCCTGGCCTCTGAGCTGCAGAGGTCAGAGGGATTAAGTTTCGGCTCCACCTGGTTTTGTGTTAGGAAAAAGTGAATACTGGCCCCCTGAGGCAAGGATCATCTGACTCCTGGTTCATTGTTTAGTTGTATTTTTATCATCCATCTCCACAAATGTTAGCTGTTTGCCTCTATTACCTGGACATAGCTTCTGACACTGGGCTAAGCTCCCTTGGGTCAGGGGAAGATGGTGTCCAGAGTCCTCCACCTAGTGTAGCACCTTAGCTTGGGGCTTCTGCCTGGGGAAGCCAATACCAGCTCAGAGCATGGGGTGCTGGGCTCCAGCCAGCCAGCACCTCCTGTGCTGCTGTTTAATTTGGGTTCCTTGGCCGTTCCCAGAGAGGGGGAGGTGAGGCCCAGAAGGAGCAGTCTGGTGCCATTGTTTGTACACAAACTTTTGAAACATTCTTTTAAATAAAATGCAGAGTCCTCTACAACTTTTCAGAACCATATAAGACACTTGATTTTTGTTTTAGATTTACCATAGCTGTGACGTTCAGATGTGTCTGACTCAGGATAAATAAGCAGACACACGTGTGCTCTTAACGATTGTGGATTTTACTGTTTTGCCTTCCAATAAAGCCTTTTGTATAAGATTTATTCCAGCTGTGGATGAGAGGTATACACGAGCACTGTGCAGGCTGCTCTGGGTAGATGGAGGCTGTGCCAGACACTAGGCTCAGAAGCTCTGTCTCAGCACCTGGCATGGAGTGTTCCCATGGGGCAACTGGTCTCATCTTGGATGATTGGGACGCCTGGAACATGCTGTCTGTCGCATTGGCTCATGGCTCCATCCCACACCACTGTCCTGTGGTGGGTTTTCACCTGTTCTTGGGCTGAGTCCTCAGAGCAGCCAGCTGGGCAGATGGGAGCTTAGAGTCTCTATATGGTTGTTACTGAGCAGGGATCAGCAGGGAGAGCCCCAGTCTTGCCTGCTTCCATAATGGGTATCATTGATTCCAAGGTGGACAGGTACCCAGGCATGCCTCACTTCCTGGGTCTTGGAGCTCCTCCCTCACTTCCTGCAGGGCAGCCTCCATGGTCAGCGGTGCAGGCCTGTGGCACCTAATGTACTGTAGGACACAAGACCATAAATAACACAATGCGTACACACAGGGAACTCTGGTGCTGGGCCTTAGCCTGGGAAACACTGCCCCAGAGTGCCCTCAAGCACAACGGGGCAAGAAAGGCCATGGTGCTACATTCAAGAAGTCCTGGAGTGGAGAGCCACACTGGGTAGAAATAACATGGTCAGACTGGGAAGAGGGCAGTCTAGGGTAAGAGGCTGTAGATGCCACATTAAACATCTCACTATGAACTGGATGTGAAAAGCAGCACATGCTGGGAGGCTGAGGCTGGGGAATGTAAAGTTCTGAGTCAGCCTAGGCTGTATAGCAAGACCCATCAAAAAAAATACTGTGGCGCCTGCAAGATAGCTAAATGGGGTAAAGCCCTCGCTGATGACCTGACCTCAATCCCTAGGATACCAAACTCCAGTCACTAGTGCTCTGACAAGATGAAACTGTATTTGGTGTGATGGTGCATGCCTGTCATCATAGCATTTTGGAGGGAGGCTGAGACCTGCCTAGGCTACAAAATTGAGACCTTATATCAAAAAATGAAAGCAGCCGGGCGGTGGTGGCACACGCCTTTAATCCCAGCACTTGGGAGGCAGAGGCAAGTGGATTTCTGAGTTTGAGGCCAGCCTGGTCTACAAAGTGAGCTCCAGGACAGCCAGGGCTACACAGGAAAACCCTGTCTCAAAAAACAAAACAACAAAAAAAGCAAAACAAAAAACCCCAAAGGACCTAGGTTTGGTTCCCAGCACCCACAACTGCCAACAATTCTAGTTCCAGGGGATTTAATGCCTTTAGCATCCTCAGGGACCAGGCATGCACAGGATATACACACATATATCCAGCAAAACATGTGCATAAAAATAAGAATTAGCAAGGTGGTGGCATACACATTTAGTCCCAGTACTCGGGAGGCACAACCAGTACCCTGTCTTGGAAACGAAAGTGCTAAGGATGCTATCTTAAACCTGAGAGGCAGCTGGCACACTTCTGGTCTGCGAAGGGCACAGGAGGACCCATCCCCTGACAGTGTCCAGGTCCCTGTGGAGCCCCAGCCTAAGAGAGTCTAGACACCCACCCCCAAGCCCCCTGCCATCTCTGACACGATCTCCCATCTGGAAGATGTAGCTGTGCACCACAGTTACCTCTTTCGCTTCCTCCAAGGTGTGGTAGTGAAATGAGTCCCCATCCAGGGACTGCAGGAGGGAACCATGCAGTTGGTGGCTGGCCTCGATGAACTGCTGCGTCAGGCTCAACTGCTGCTTCAGCATGTCATTCAACGCCAGCACTGCAGGACTGTAGGCTGTCAGGGCTACACCCATCCCATGTCACTCAGTGGCTGCCCGGTGCCACATGGGTCTTCACGTACCACCTGTGCATCTTGGCCCTGTGGCCCAGACCCCCACTGACCTACTTTCTGGGCAGTCTGCCTCTAATGGTAATGAGGCTCTTCCTGTGTCTCCATTCTGTATTAACTGTGAACAATAATCACATACTAGCTCTACTAAACGATAAAGGAACTGCTTTCTCTAGCTGGGCATGGTGTCACATGCCAGCTACTCAAGCAAAGGAGTATGAGGTGCTAAGACCTGGAACTCTGAGCCAGCTTGGGTTATGTGCTGCAACTTCATACCCCTACACCCACCCTACCCCCAAAGACACATTTAAAAAAAATTTAAAGAGATGGGATTTCACTATAAACTCTTACATTCAAATGATCCTCCTGACTCAGCTGCCTAAGTAGCTTTGATTATAGGCTTAGGATTGGCCAAGTAGGGAAGAGAACTGGACATGGGCAAAATGGTCCAATAGTGTTCTCTTAGTAGGGCTGGATAGACTCAGGGCTCCTCCACTGAGTTGACACCAGCCCTGAATTGCTTTTGGGCTTGTGGGTTTGGTTAAATCCTTCACCAGACACAGAGGTTCCAGTCACCCTTAGGCTGGCCAACAAAGTCCTATCAGCTGCTGACAAGCAAGCACCCTTCCCAGGGATCCCTCAAAGCCACCCTTAGAAGGTGATGCCAGGAACTGAAGGGAAGGAGTGAGCCCCCAGCTGTCTGTTACCTTCTATGGCGTCTGCGCTGACAATGTGACTGGCGATGGGTGCTGGGTCCACATAAGCACCTCCAAGGGCAGGTCCAATGGCTGCCATGCCACCAGCTGGCCCAAGACAAAGAAGCTGTTGAGGGTACTACAAGCACTTTTAGAACAATATATGACAATGAACTGAGCTGTAGCTGCCCAGTTCTGCTTCCTGGATTGCTTACTGATTTGTTGGAAACAGGTTTGGAAATCATGGTGCCCAGGTTTCCTTTGAGCTCCTGGGATCCAGAAATCCTCCTGCCTCGTCCTCTTGGCCTCTAGCCCTACTTGTGCATAGGTAGTTTTGTGCTGTTTCTATGCATTTGCTGTGTGATGCCAGGAATCGCCCCACATGTCCACTTTATTCTGGGTTACCACCTAGCATTTATGTGGGGTCTATAGAGTTCCAAACCTTGGAACCTTGGTCCTCACACTTTCAACACAACCACCCCATCACTGAGCTGTCTTCTCCGTCCCCACTGTTGACTTTGTTTGTTTGTTTGTTTTTTGAGACAGGGTTTCTCTGTGTAGCCCTGGCTGTCCTGGAACTCACTCTGTAAACCAGGCTGGCCTCCGCCTGCCTCTGCCTCCCAAGTGCTGGGATTAAAGGCGTGCGCTACTACTGCCCGGCTCACTGTTGACTTTCTAAATGGCTAATTCAAGTTTTCCCCAAAGACAGGCTGTGGCTCAGTCCTCAGTGCTCACCCACCTGGCACAAAGCTCTCAATCCCTTGCACCATGAGTGGTGGCACAAAACTGTCATCTCAGCACTCAGGAGGCTGAGGCTGGAGGATCAACTCAAAGTTAACTTCAGCTACATGTGCAATTTGAAGCCAGCCTAGATTACATGAGACCCTTGTCTCAACAAACAAATCCTAAAAGGCACAGATGTGGGGTGTGGATGTGTGGGTGTGTGGCACCCTGGCTTCCACAAGGTTGACAAGGTCACAGTTAAGTGCCAAATTGAAAACAAGTTAGAGAACTGCACCCATTCTTCCCACAGGAAAGGAAGGGGTCAGCAGCTAACTAGCTAAGAAAAGGGCCTAGAGCAATGTTGGACAGAAAAAGAGGAACCAGAGACCACAAGTGGGAAGGACAGAAACCTCTGGAAAGTCCTGGGCATGATGAAAAGAGCGACTTTCAGAATATGCTCACCACTAAGGTCAAACACATAGCCTGTAGCATGGCAGCCCCTGCCACTTCTGTGAGGTCCTGATGGCAGCTAGTGAGGACCTGGATGGCTGAAGACCGGCTGGTGGGTATCCTCCTGTCCCTTCCCCAGCACCCTGTGTTCCCTGTAGCAGGCTTCTAGGTGTCAGCAGCACTCTGCCTCAGTGCTGGCATCTTGAACTGTCCCCAGACTTCAAAGTCTTCCCAGGATTGGAAGCCACTGGGAACACCCTAGCTACCAACCACCTCTTGTCCTGGGAAGAGGAAATGGAAATGGGGTGCCAAGATTCCCCCTGAACCTGGCTAATGACAAGAGCCCAGACCCAGATGCTGTGCTGGGAGTTGGTCTTGTGTATGTAGATGCAGACCTCTAGGCTGACGTCTGTTTATAGTCTAGACTGTGGTGTGGTCAAGCATCTCGGTCTCAATGTTATGTAAAGGTTGTCTTCCATCGCCTCTGACTGGTCAATAAATACCCGATTCAGCTTATGACTAGGCAGAGGATAGGAAGGCTGGACTTCTGATATTATTAGCAAGGGTCCCAGGTAGAGAGAATTAAGGACCAGAGGGTCCAGGAGTCATGATGAGGTCATCAAGGGATTCACCATGAGGTCTCAGTGAGAGAGCAGGCATGAGGACACAATTGGACCAGAACAAGACAGGGCCAGACTCATGTTTGAAGGTAGAAAACCACATGCCTGGGAAGTAGACAGTGTAGATGTCTAGATTTTCGGAATAGATGAATAGATAAGTCTAGTCACAGTGCTTCAAGCTTGTTAATAAACTTAATAGGGGGGCTGGAGAGATGGCTCAGCAGTTAAGAGCACTGACTGCTCTTCCAGAGGTCCTGAGTTCAAATCCCAGCAACCACATGGTGGCTCACAACCATCCGTAATGAGATTGGATGCCCTCTTCTGGTGTGTCTGAAGACAGCTACAGTGTATTCATAAATAAAATAAAATAAATAAATCTTTAAAAAAAATAAATTTAATAGGTCTCTGTGTCAATTATGTGGGAGCTAGAACAGAAAAGGATAAGGCTATCATTCTTAAATTACAGCCTACACCCAAGGACACCACAGCATCCCAGGTTCCCTGAGGCCCCGACTTACCCTTGCTCCACTGGTAGGCGAAGGCAGGGTCAAGAGTCTGCACAGCTGTCTCCTTCACCACTCTGGTCACACCTCTGCCCCATTCTGTCCTTGATAGAGGTTGTCTGACAACAATATCTGTCTGTCCACTGGAAGAAAACTTTGACAAAGTATCCAGCGTCCTGTCAAGTGACTCCTCCAAGGCCAAGGGACCAGACAACTGCTCAAAATCCTCTGAGTAAGCTGGGCTTGCCGTGAGTGCAGTGGGTGTCTCCATGGAGCATGCCCTGGACATACTGTGAGACCGGACAGATGCTGACAAGCTGGCACTTGGGTGCTCTGAGACCTCACTCTCAGTGGTAAGATCCTCTTCATCCTCAACCACGGTGGTCACACCCTGAAACACAGAACTCTTGGGCCGTGAAGCCCTCTGCGCTTCCAGTCGAGTAGGTGATGTGGGTGAGGGGCTTCTGCCTGAAATCCCTTCCCTTACAGAATCTTCCTCCTGAAAGGAACAAGGAGGGCAGAGCTGAAGGAAATTCTAGAGAGCGCAACAGTGCCTCCTTCAGCCAGACACAGCAGCAGACACTTGTGATCCTAGTATTCAGGCAGAAGAGATCACAAATTCTAGGCTAGCCTGGGCTACATAGCAAGACCCTCTCTCAGAAATACAACACAGGCAAAGCAGTATGCACCTATAATCCCAGCACTTTGGAGGCAGGGGGAGAAGGATCAGGAATTCAAGGCCAGCCTCAGCTGATTTGGAGGCCAGCCTGGGCTATGTGAGACTCTGTCTCAGAAAACCAAAAGTAAAAATAAAGACAGCCAAGGTGTATCATACTTGTAATCTTATCACTTGGAATGCAGAAGTCAGATGACTGCCTAGTCTCAGGCCACACCAGGCTATAGAGTAAGACCTGTCCCCCTGATCTTCAAAAGAAAATAATTAAAACTATCCTATTTGTGGGATGGAAAGATGGTTCAGAAGGTAAAGGCACTCACTGCCAAGTTCAACAACCCAGATCTCCTGGATTCACATGCAGATGAAGACTCCCACAGTTATGCTTTGACCTGACTCACACATGCACAAGAGTGTACACACACACACACACACACACACACACACACTGAAAAGTACTGTCTTCTCTTACAGAGGACCAGGATTCAATTGCCAGCAACTATGTGCAGCTCACAACTGTCTGTGACTCCAGTTCCCGTGGATCCAACACCCTTACAAAGACATACATGCAGGCAAAACACAGATAGATATACAAAAGATAAATCAGTTTTAAAAAAGAAAAAGTATAAAAAGTAAAACAGATGAAAAGCTTATGAAGTACACTTTCATTTAAAGAAAAGATGAGTCTGGAGAGCAAGCTCTTAGGCCAGTGTGCTGCCAGCACCCACAATAGGTGGCTCAAAACTGTCTGAAATCCAACTCCAGGAGATTTCACGCCCTCTTCTGGCCTTTGTGGGCACTGCACTCACATGCATGCATGTACCTCCAGAAACACAATCAAAAACTATAAAAATATTCTCTTGTGTAAACAGGGAAACTCCATGTTGTCAGGGAGGCGTGCAGCTGGAGATGAAGCCCAGGGCCTTGTACATGCTTAACACATGCTGTCCCACTCTGCTGAAGCACTTTACACAAGGTTTCTTCCTCTGTAGGCTGAAGACGACAAGGACAGGACTCATTGTGTAGACCAGGCTAGCCTAGAGTTATATACATTGGTATGGCCTCAAACTCACATCAGTCCTACTGTGGTAGCTTCCCAAGTGCAGGGATTACAGGTATGAACCAGCACATCTGCCTAGCTTTTAGGTTTCTTCTTAGACAGTGTATGGTGATCTGAATAAGAATGGCCCCCATATTGGGAGGCAGAGGCAGGCAGATTGCTGAGTTCGAGGCCAGCCTGGTCTACAGAGTGAGTTCCAGGACAGCCAGGAGTACACAGAGAAACCCTGTCTCGAAAAAACAAACAAACAAACAAACAAAAAAAACCAAAAAAAAAAAAAACAAAAAAAAAAAAGAAAGAAAAAGAAAAAGAAAAAAAGAAAAAAAAAAAGGATGGCCCTCATAGGCTCAGATATTTGAAATCTCAGTCACCAGGGAGTGGCACTATTTGAAAGAATCGTACTGATTAAGACTTGAGTGGCCTTGCTGGAGGAGGTGTGACACTAGGGTGGCCGGAGCCTCTGTGTCTGCCCATGGATCTGGATGTAGCTCCTACATGCTGAACGCTTCCTGCCATGATGATAATGTAAGCAAACCTGGACCTATAAGCAAGTCCCCATTAACTGTTTTACTTTGTAAGAGTTGTTGTAAGAAGAGGCAGGTAGATCTCTAAATCTGAGGCCAGCCAGCCTGGTCTACAGACAGAGTTGCAGGACAACCAGAACTAGAAAAAAAAAAAAAACCCTGTCTCAAAAAACAAACAAATAAACAAACAAACAAACAGTTACCACAGTGACTGTGTCACCTCATAGCAACAGAACTGTGACTAACACAGACCTAAGACAGACATATACATCTCATGCTGGATTTCAGCTGGGATGTGGGAGAGTTAGACTGGATGGGAGTGAGGATCCACAGAAGCCCTTGGGCACGTCTACAGCGGGAAGACTACTGCTGCATGTGTGCAGTGCCATCCTATGAGTAGAGTCTCAGGCTGAATTAAAAGCAGAAGCGGGAACTGGGCACCTGATTATAGACATACTGTGACCAGCTGCCTCCTGTTCCTGCCACTAGGCCTCAGCCCTTCCTTAAAACTCTTAAGCTGCTGCTATTTGATGTCTATCACAGACACAAGACCAGGAACTAAGATACTATAGAACCAAAAATTGACTTGAACTTCTGATCCTCCTACCTCTACTTCCACAGTCTGAACCCACCATGCACAGCTGGATGCTATAAACTTTAAATGTGTACCCTTGTATGCCACTAAACACTCATCTGACAGGGCAGACACTCCCAGGAACCGAGGGATGTGTGTGACTGGGGACTGCAGCCTGCTCAGCCTTGGCTATCCGAGCTACCATAAGAAGGGGCTCTGGCCAGGCACTGTGCCCACACCTATAATCCCAGCAGTTGGGGATCAGAAGCAGGCAAGATTCCTGTGAGCTTGAGGCTTAGCCTCATCTACAGAGTAAACTCCAGGACAGCCTGGGCCACACAGAGAGACCCTGTTACTGAGAGGGTTGGGGTGCAGTTCTGATCACTTCCTTTTTGGTTTGTTTGTTTGTTGTTTTTTGTTTGTTTGTTTTTTTAAAGGATTTATTTCTGTGCAGCCCTGGCTCTCCTGGAATTCACTGTGTAGATCAAGCTGGCCTTGAACTCACAGGGATCCTCCTGCCTCTGCCTTTTGAGTGTTGGGATTAATAGAGTACCCACCAGACCTGGCACTATCACTTTGTTTAGAAACATTTTTATTACATTTACTTGGTATATATGTACATGCAAGCACATGTGTGTTATTTAGTGTACATGTATATGCATATGCAAGTGCATTTTGGTCTTTTGTTATGAGTTATAATGCTAAGTGCAGAACCTGGTTTCCCCAGAGTCCACACATAGACCCAAGTAACAATATATGATCTTGCCTCCAAGTTATTTCTGATTGGTAAATAAAAATGCCTACAGCCTATAGCTAGGCAGAATTGAGATAAGATAGGTGGGGCTTGGTGTTCCCAGCATTGAGGTCAGAGGAGACTATCAGGAGGAAGAGAAGAAAGTGAATGAGGAGGAGGAAGACATCACGGGTTAGGAGTCAAGAAAGCATGAATCTGAGAGTTGGCCAACTGGAGTTAAAAGCAGCCTAGATGAAACACATAAGTAATAACTCGGGGTTATCAATAGGAAATAAAATTTAATAACATAAAGGGTAGATCTGCTCAGCTCTAGTGCTGATTAAGGCTTATTATAAATATAAAGGTTGTGAATGTCTTTTTTCTGGGAACTTAATGGTCAAAGATAGTGTAAAAACCCCAGACTGGGATTAAAAATTTCTACAACACATGTGTTATTTAGTATGTGTGCAAATGTGAGCACATTTGCGTTACATAGTGTATACACATACAAATAAGAGTGTGTGTTATACTATGTGTGCACATACGAGAGCATGCATGCTGCTCAGTGTATGAGCACATGCCAACACGTATGACAGTCAGAGGATCCAGCCACGAGTCTTGTCTCCTTCCCCTAGTGGGACCTATGGACATCATAGTGCATCAGGTGGCCAGGCTTGGAGGCAAACACCATTACCTGCTAAGCATCTTAACAGCCTGTGGGGTTCCTTCGGGACCAAGTGTCTCTTTTCCTGTGCTCACCGGCAGCTGTGGCGTTCTTGACATTCTTTGGATTGATGACAACTGCAGGACACTGAGCAGTCTCCTGCTTTCACCCCTAAAGATGCTGGTCCCCCGATCTCACCAATGGGTCCCCAAATGTTGCCAATGTCCCCAGAGGGACCAGACTGCTGCTGCTGAGCCCCATGGCCTAAACAGAACATGCCAGCTGCAACATGCTACACTTTTAGTGACTCATGGGGAGTGGTGCTCAGAGGCAGGTCACTTGTCCAGCATAGGCCACACCCTGGGTCTGTCCCTAACACTGCACAGAAAGTAAAGAAGGGCTGGTAAGATAGCTCAGATGATAAAGGAACCTGACAGTCTGAGCATCATCCTGGGACTCACAGGAGATAAAGGAAGCTTCCTCCTCTGACACCAAGTGTGGGTGTGGTGTACAAGTATGCACTTGTGAGTGCAAGCTCAGCACACACCCAAAATGAATAAATGTGTGGGGAACAGACAGATCCCTGTGAGTTTGCAACCAGTCTGATGGATAGAGTGAGTTCTGGCTGGTCCGGACTCCATAGTGAGACCCAGTCTTTAATCAAAAACCAAGGTAAATTAACACAATAAAAAGGACTCTATTGCCAGGCGGTGGTGGCGCACGCCTTTAACCCCAGCACTCAGGAGGCAGAGGCAGACAGACTTTTGAGTTCGAGGCCAGCCTGGTCTACAGAGTGAGTTCCAGGACAGCCAGGGCTACACAGAGAAACCCTGTCTTGAAAAACCAAAAAAAAACAAAAAACAAAACAACAACAACAAAAGGACTCCATCATACTTACTTTCTGTTCCCCATCTGATTTGTCTCCATCAGCCAGAACCAGATCATCAATGGACAAAATATTAATTCTAAAATCTGTAATTAAAAAATAAGTGCACTGTGGGTGAGGTAGCCCAGTGGGTAAGGGTGCCTGTGGCCAAGCCTGCCAGCCCTCATTCAACCCCTGGGTCCCACATGGGGTAAAGGAGAAAGCCAACTTGCTAGTGGTCCTAAACTCCCCATGGGCACTATGGACATGGGCTCCCTTCACATACATATCCAATAAGGAAAAGAAGCCAGGGTCTAGAGAGATGGCTTGATGGTTAAGAACACTGGCTGCTTTTCCAGAAGTCTTGAATTCAATTCCCAGCACCAACATGGTAGCTCAAAACCGACTATAATAGGATCTGGTGTGCAGATATATATGCAGACAAAGTACACATATACATAAAAATATATAAATAAATCTTTTTAAAAATAAAAGAAAGAAAAGAAAAAGAAGCCAGGCATGATGGTACACACCTTTAACTACAGCATTCAAGAAACAGAGGCAGATGGATCTCTGTGAGTTCAAGACCAGCCTGGTCTACAGAGCAAGTTCTAGGACAATCAGAGCTACACAGAAAAAAAAAGTGTCTCAAAAGACAAAAAAAGACTATCAAAGAACAACACTACAAAGTTAGTACAGGGAAAGGAAGACTACTGCCATCTATTAAAATGTCAGTTCTGTCCCTCAAGGCCACTCAACATAACTATCTTCTGCCCTTCCTCAGCCCACCCAGTGACAGTGCAGCAAGACACTCCCACCATGCAGACCACAGTGGTCCAGAACCCTCTGCCATGTCAGCCTCTGTTCTCTGAAGTACCCAGTCTGGAAATAGCTCCTAGGTACTTGCCTAACATGCATGGGGCCCTTCGTTCAGTCCCCAGCAGTGCCAAATAAACTGCTTAAATAACTCATGGTGTGGACTGTTTTAGGGGCAGGGCCACATATAACCCAGATGGACATCAAATTTGGTCAGATGACGACCTTGAAGGCCTGGTCCTCCTGCCTCTACCTTCCCATGACAGGATGACAGATGGGCACTAGCACACCAGCAGTACCCATGACCTTTCAGACTACTTTCTTTTTTTACATTTATTTATTTGTCTGCAGGTACACAGTGCACCACATGTGTCTGGAGGGCATCAGGTCCCTAGGAACTGCAGTTACAGGCAATTGTGAGCTGCCATAAGAGTGATGGGAACGAACCTGGGTCTTCCTTCTGCAAGAGCTGAGCCGTGTCTCTGGCTAGTCCTAGGTTTTTGGGTGTGTTTCCCATTCTCTGACCATGGCATGTATGGCTATGTGAGGAGAACTGGCTCAGAGCCAGGGCTGACAGTTCATGCCTGTCCCCTCAACACTCAAGAAACCAAGGGATGTGTGTTGTGTCAGCCTTGGTCTCTGACTGGCAGCTCACTTCTGACTGCCGCCAGTGTGACGAACTCACCACCCAGTTACACAATGCCCTGGGACAGCAGACTGGGTACACTGAAGGTAGGCTCCCCTTCCCCACAAGGTGATGGGTTACCATGGAGGCTGTCAGCAGCAGCTTCTGAAACTGGCTCCTCAGAAGACTCCGCCTCCATCCTGCTGGGAGAGGAAGCCAGCTTGATACACCCCATCTTTGAAGAGGATGATTTGGAGATGTCATCGAGGATGGAAGGTGAGGCCGTGACAGAGACTGTGTCCCCAGCACTGCGAGTCTGTAGGGAGTGAGTTCTCAAACCAATGCTAGTCGACCGTACGGGCCGAGAAGACTTTAAGCTGGACTGGTCCGCACTGAGCAGAGACAGGACTGCTGGCTGATCTGGAGTCAGACCCTACTTTTGTGAAAAGAGAGGATGTGAAGTTACTAAACGTAAATGCCATAGCCCGCTCGCTCCACAGAGCCACGCCCGCTCGCTCCACAGAGCCACGCCCGCTCGCTCCACAGAGCCACGCCCGCTCGCTCCACAGAGCCACGCCCGCTCGCTCCACAGAGCCACGCACGCGGGGAGAGACTAGCTGGGGGACAGCCCAAGGAGCAAAAGTGCTTGCCACGACTCCGGACCTGAATACAACCCTGGGACCCACTTGGTGGAGGTACACACACACGCACACACACACATGCACGCACACATGCAAATAAATAAAAGGAATAAATGGAAAGGAAGTAAGAAAGAAAACAGGCTATGGTGATACACACTTAATCCCAGCCCTGGGGAGACAGAGGCAGGTGGATCTCTTAGAGTTCAAGCCCAGTCTGGTCTACAGAGTGAGTTCAAGAACAGCCAGGGCTACACAGAGAAACTCTGTCTCAAAAAAAAAAAAAAAAAAAAAAAATAGTATATGGGATTTGGGTGTGGAAAAATGACTCAGCAGTTAAGAGTGCTTGCTGGTCTTGCAGAACCATGCTCAATTCCTATCATCCACAAGTTGCTTCAAAACCATCTGCAACTCCAGTCCCAGGGGATTGGACATCTTCTTCTGACTTCCATAGGTACCAGGCCACATGTGGTGCACATAGGCAAATACTCTATACATAAAATATATTTTTTTTTAATTTTATATATGCGATGAGTACATTGCAGCTGTCTTCAGACACACCAGAAGAGGGCATCAGATCTCATTACAGATGGTTGTGAGCCACCATGTGGTTTCTGGAAATTGAACTCAGGACCTCTGGAAGAGCCCAATTGGGCTGGAGAGATGGCTCAGCGGTTAAGAGCACTGACTGCTCTTCCAAAGGATTCAGGTTCAAATCCCAGAACCCAGAATGACAGCTCACAACTGTCTGTGACTCCAACTCCAGGGAATCTGATACCCTAACACATGCATACATACATACATACACACATACTTACATACATGCATGCATACATACATGTAAAACTCAGATACACATAGAATAAAAATAAATCATTAAAAAAAAACTCAGGTTCTGTGGATGCTGGAAGGAGGATACTTCTGGACTCCTGGAGGCTCCCAAAGCATCAGAGGCCAAGACCATCTGTAGACTTGGATCTAGGCAAGTACAGGTTAGTGTCCAGCACGGTGACAAATGCCTTTAATCCCAGCACTCGGGAGGTAGAGACAGGTAGGTCTTGTGAGTTCAAGGCCAGCATGGTCTATATAGGGAATTCTAGGGTAGCCAGGGCTACACAGAGAACCTGTCTCAAACAAACAAAACAAAACAAACATCAAGGACAGGTTAAATGGATTATGTGTGAGCAAAGGAAGGGAAGCTGTCTCCGGAGTTACCATGGATGGTTCTCTCCTGGTGCAGATTCCTCCCCTAGCCAGGGGCAAGCACAGGCATAGCCAAGGAGGAGGGCAACTATTACTGCCCCCCCACACTGGCCCCATCTAGAGGCAGCTCCACAGAGCTCATGGTGGGGAGGGTGGTAAGGAAAACAGATGGTGGACTTATGAAAGTAAGAGCCCTAGAAGGAGCCAGCAGGTAACAAAACAATGGCTAGAACCTTCCTGAGCTGCAGCAGACCTTGCAAATGGTTTGCTAAGTGTCTTCCTGTGTGACAAGGATCTGCATTCACTGAACACTCATTTAGAACAGATGCCAGGGTCTTCCGAAGCACCTCAGCAGTTATGTTTGTGACTGTGCTTCTTCTGTTGTCCTCTCCAAATACAGAGAACATGACACTAACATATGTGTGTTCTCTTCATTCAGAGACAAGCACAAGACACGTGGGAGAGCAGCAGAAACGGGGACAGAGCCTGTCCACACAGGGCACAACCTAGCGCAGCTGTGAGCCCTAGGAGACATGGCTGATGCCCACAGGTGACAGAGGAAACATTCTGCGACAGCCTGAGCCTGCTGTATGTGAGACAGAGGGAATGGGGACCTTTCGAGAGTGGAACAACTGCTCCCAGGAGCACTAAGGATGTGGAAATTCCCAGGCTGGGGCAGGTGACCTCCCTAAAACAACTGCCATGGCTGTTGACGACACTGCAAGCCTGGATGGTGAAGCTGTACTGCTGAAGATGTCAAAGGCTTTTGTTGCAGGACTTGGAAAAATACGCTAGGACTGAGCCAGAAGAGTGCCTGCCCAGATGCACTCCTGCAATCCCAGTGCTCGAAGGTGGAGGCAGGCAAGTATCAGAGGTTGAGGCCAGCCAGGTCAATCCTGCTAATTCCAGGCCAGCCAAGGCTTCACAGAGAAACCCTGTCCGCGTGGAGGTGGGGGTGGGAACAGTGTCAGCTGTCAAGACAGCGGCAAAAGTGGTCAGAGACAGAAACAACTTCCCAACTGGACTTAAGGCCGCTCCACAGGGGACACTCACTGTTACTACCTTGAACCTACAAAACCTGGGGTTAGGAGAGTCAGGCTAGTGTAGGGGAGGTACCCATTCCCTAATTGGTTCTTGATTGTGTCAATAAAGACGGCCGAGGCCAATCGCTGGGCAAAGGGGAAAAGGTGGGACTTCTGAGTCCCAGGAGGAAGAGAAGCGGATGAGAGGGAGGAGGCAAAGCAGGCAGTGGAGCGGAGGAAGCGGCAGGTGTGTAGGTCTCAGGGGCACTAAGAGTTTGTAGCCTCCCCCGTGGGCAGAGGCCAGGGAGGATAGGGCAAGACATTCTTTTCCCAGCCATTGAGTTATCTGGCTAGTTTTAAAATACTAAGGCTGTCTGGTGTTTTCCATCCACTGCAACTAAGGTGGGCAGGAGAAAGGGCACAGCCGTGGGGGTCGCTGGCAGCCGGGTGGGGCTAGCTGCGAGAGGTTGAGAGAGCTCGGAATAAGCTCTTAACTAAGAAAGAGCAAGCATGTTATTAAAATTACACGCAACAGGCTAGGAGAAAAGGAGAGCTGTGGCTCTAGTAAATGATAGGGCCAAATGGCCAATGTGCTGCCCTGCATTTCTATTTATGACCACAAGCTGTCACCGGTGCTGGGTAGGCTCCGGCCATCAGTGTCTTTCAGCCATTTGTACTCCTGTAAGTAATCCCAATAAACTGATTGGTTCTCCAAGTTGGTCTTAGGTCCTGTTGTGCTTTTATTTGTCACTGGCTTCCTGTGTGAAGCAAGGAGATGTCTGTTCACATCTCCCTGGCAATGGTGTCACACAGCAACAGCTTGTTCCCACAGCTCACACTCATCCAGCTTTCTCACACAACTCAAGCCCACACAGGCATCACCAGTTCACAGTGGGCTAAGCCTTCTACAGCAATAAACAATTAAGACAATTCCTCTAATGTGGGCCGTCCTTCAATTGAGACCTCAAACTAAACTAGCTAGACAAAGCATTTGCTGCTCTTTCTTGAAGGGGACCTGAGTCTGGTTCCCAGCACCCACATCAGGCGTCTCACGACCCCTCTAACTCTAGCTCCAGGGGATCGATGCCCTCTTCTATCTTTGCAAGCACCTGTGCATATGTGGGGTATACACACACAGACATGTATGTACAGAAGTGGGAGAGGGTCTGCTATGGTACAAACAAAGCAATGGGCTCTGCTCCCAGAATCACCAAAAAACAAACAAACAAAAATGTAAAACTTGAAACCAACAAAAGAATACGTTACCAAGAACTCCTTTCCAAGGTTGCTCCTGCTGACTCTGGTGCCAAGGAGCTCCCGGTTTCTCTTTGTTTCTTTTTCTCTAGAAGATTCCATCAAGCTTCCAAGCAACACTTTCATCTCCTCCTCGTCACTGTCAGGAGCGTCACACTTTCTGGGGGGCTCTTTCTGTGTGGGCAGTGGACCCTGCTTCCCTGTGCCCACTGCCGGCCCTGGGGACCTAGCTTCAGGGGGCAGCTCCTTCTTCTTCAGAAACCTGCTACCATTTCCACTCTGTCCATCGCTCTTTGTCACAGATGTTTTGCACACTTGTTTCTGAAAAGTTCTGTGTGGATACTGGGCAGAAACAGAAGTTGCATCTGTCCTCTTAGGAAGACTGTGCTCGCTGGCTGTGGAGTCAGACTCCCTGTCAGACCAAGCTGTGGGGACGTGCTTCCGATTCAGGATCTTGGTTTCAATCTGGGCCAGTTTCCTAAGGGCCTCACTGGCTCTGGTCTTGGAGGAGATGGTGGGAGCCCTCGAGCCCAGCCTCGCCCCTCTCCTCGCCATGGCCTCCTCTTTGGGCATCAAATAGTTCTCGTCCATCATTTGGTTTTTCTTTAGGATTCTGCTCTGCCCAGGTGCCACTTGGCCAAGACTTCGGGCTTGTAAGTTTCTGATCTCTTCCATCCTCGAGCTATCTAAGAACATATCCCTGAAGTCAAAAACACCATGTCGAGGGCCAAAGGGCCTTCTTGTGGAAGCCATTCTAGGAAAACAAAGATTGTGTTTTCAGCCTTTAAAAGCATTTTATTTATTTTTTGTTTTGTTTATTTTTTTTTCAAGATAAGGTTTCCCAGTATAGCTTTGGTTTTCCTGGAAGCACCCTAGACCAGACCTGCTTCCAAGTGCTGGGATCAAAGGTGTATGCCACTACCACCCAGATAAAAGTCTTTCTTTTAGTAAGCTGTAGGGCATGTGGGACCGAGCTACCAGACAGGCATAAGAACTGGTAAGGCTGAGTGAGCTCGAAACCTGGGAATCTCAGGGATTTGAGAACAGGAGTCCAGCTGACTCGTCCCTGTCTCTGTACCTGCTCTGGAACCTGTAACCAGGTTAGCCAACTGAGAGGACCATGGGTACTCATTTCCGTATCATAGTACCTGGAGTCCTTCTCCATGCTAATGAGGAATCTACATGACCTCAGCCTTCAGCCAATGACCTTTCCTTCCTGGGTCTTCTCACGCCCTTCCCCCAAGAGGTATATAATCCCTGATTCAACTGAATAAAGTGCATGCACTCACATTCATCCCCAGTAAAGCAATATGAACAAACAAGGATTGTCTCAAAGAGAGCTGCTTCACTAAACATCACCATGGGGAAGGCCTTTGCCTACAAGAGCCCCTCTTAAGACTCTGAAGAAGGCTTTCCCTTCTTCAGACCTCAGGTCCTCAGCACTCACTCCCCATCAGACTGGATCTCACTTGTCCCAGGCTCTCCCGCCCCTTTTCTCGCTGGTGTGCAGATGCCCTGCAGGAAAAGGTGCACTGAGGAGCCCACTCCTGACTCGTCCTGGCGGTACACCTGGTATCCAGAGAGGAGACAGGAAACTACAACCTTTGTCTCAGATCCTGCTTTCCCTTTCTGGTCCAGTGTAGCAGCATCTGACACCCTGAAGGGAAACAGAGTCCCTTTCCAGCCTTTGGTCTGCCTCCCCCCAACCTCCTGCAGAAGCAGCATGACAGTCAGCTGGAATGTCACACACTTTTAATCCCAGCACTCAGGAGGCAGGTGGATCTCTTATGGGTTCAAGACCAACCTGGGCAGTGGCTCTCCACTTATCTTTCCCCAGTGCTGCCCCAAGGACCCAGCTTCAGTGGTTAGCTCTTTTTTCCTTAAAAAACCTGACACCTCTTCTATTTTGCCCACTCTTTTTTGCCAACCAGGGCTATGTAAGGAGATCCTGTTTTGGAAATACCAAAAAAAATTAAAAAAAAAATCCAGCACTCGGGAGGCAGAGACAGGTAGATTTCTGAGTTTGAGGCCAGCCTAATTTACAGAGTGAGTTCCAGGCTAACCAAGGCTACATAGATAAACCCTGTCTTGAAAAACCAAAACAATAACAAAAAATGTATGTGGATATGTGTGTATGCTGAGCGTGTGTACCTCATGGGTGCAGGAGCATTCCCTCAGAGGTCAGAAGACGTGTGGGATCCTTTGAAACTAAAGTTACAGCCAGGTGTGGCCACCATGTGGGTGCTGGGTGTGAAACCCAGGTCCTCTGCAAGAGCAACCAGTGCTCTGACTGTGGAGCCATTTCTACCTCCTCTTCTTCCTTTCTTTCTTTCCTTCTTTTCTTTCTTTCTTTTTTTATTTGGTGTTTTTTTTTTTTTTCCATTGGAGACGTTTCTCTGTGTAGCCCTGACTGTTCTGGATCTCACTGTATAGATCAGGCTGGCCTCAAACTTCCAGCTACTCTATTTTTTTTTTAAGATTTTATTTTTAGGCTGGGTGGTGGTGGCGCACGCCTTTAATCCCAGCACTTGGGAGGCAGAGGCAGGCAGATTTCTGAGTTCGAGGCCAGCCTGGTTTACCAAGTGAGTTCCAGGACAGCCAGGGCTACACAGAGAAACCCTGTCTTGAAAAACCAAAAAAATAAAATAGAGATTTTATTTTTATTTATTTTATGTATATGAGTACACTGTCACTGTCTTCAGACACACCAAAGGAGAGCTTCTGATCCCATTGGAGATGGTTTCAAGCCATCATGAGGTTGCTAGGAATTGAACTCAGGAGCAGTCAGTGCTCTTTGCTAAGCCATCTCTCCAGCTCTTATTAAAAATTCTTTTTAGAAAAAAAAAACCCAAAACAAAATAAAAAACAAAAAATTATTTTTAGCACTTGACAGAATTTCATTTATTGTGTGTGTGCCTGTGTGTTCCCACAGGTGGAGGTCAGAAGCAAACAGCAGATTGGTTTTCACCCTCCACCATATGTGTTCCTGGGACTGAGCTCGAACCTTTTCTAATTTCCCATCTCACAGGCACTAAAAGTCCGTTAAGTTCCTCTCCTGCATTCAAAAGCTCCCATGTGGTAGAAAATCACACTGCCCGCTAGAGTTTGAACAAGGTTAGTCTCCACAAACAATAATAAAGGAAAGGAAAGAAAAAAAAAGATACAAGGCAATTGACCTGGAGTTACTATGTAAGACAGCAGTTCCACTCAGATGGAGCCCAAGAGAAACGGAAATGTATGCGAACGTTCATAGATCATTCAAAACATACAAAACGGAAACAACCCTCATGCCTATGAACTACTGAGTGAACCATTCAAAGGGTAGGATATTACTCAACTTTTAAAACAGAGGGGAAGGGAACTGGCTCAGCCCTTTCTCATGGCTGAATTACCAGAACCCACGTGATGGAAGGAGAGAATTGATTCCTCTGACCAGACGTAAATAAATAAATGTAAAAACCTACTATATATGCTTCTTTAAAAGTTTTATATATTCACGAGCGTGGGGGTGAGTGACTGAAATCCCAGCACTTGGGTATTGGTGCAGGAAGAGCAAGAGTTGATGGCCAACCTCTACTACACAGGGAGCTCTACGCCAGCCTGCGTTACCTGAGATGCAGTCTCAATCGACTAACAGAACACAAAAATAAGGCACTAAGTATTACACACTGCTGACACTCAGTTTCCTCGCTTTTGTTAGCAAGTCCTACGGGATCATGCTCCAACGCCCTCCAGATCTGGAAACTCAGGTGTGGGAATGCCGCCCCCTTTCCTGCAACCCCTCGTCGACCCAGCTGATCACTGTAAGGTCACCTGAGTAGCCGCGTTGGTTTCTTCCCGCCAGGCTTCGGCCTCAAAGTATAGGCCCCAGTGTGAGGTTGCCCCAGGAGACCGCGCCAGAGACTCGAGAGACTACATTTCCCGTCGGCCATCGCGCTCCATCCACCAATGAACGCCTCAGGTCACAATCGCGGGGCGTCACGGGACCAGTAATTCTAGCGCGCCCATTCAGCGGCCTCAGGTCATAATCCCAAAGGCATGCCGGGAGTTGTAGTTTCTGAGTTGCGCCCCTCAGGCGCTACCGACGCCTGAGAGCAGAGAGCTGTAGTAGCACGGGCAGCCATGGTCTCGGCTCGCGTGTCGCTCTGGGCCATCTGCGTGCTGCGCGTGGCACTAGCCACTGTGTACTTCCAGGAGGAGTTTCTAGACGGAGGTGAAGGCGATTACCGTGGTGGCTGGCTTGTGCCTTGGCGTCCACCATCTGTCATCTGGACCCGTGTACTTTGCACCCCTAACCCTCCTGTCTCCCCACAGAGCGCTGGAGGAACCGCTGGGTCCAGTCCACCAATGACTCCCAGTTCGGGCACTTCAGAGTCTCATCGGGGAAGTTCTATGGGCATAAAGAGAAAGACAAAGGTTAGTGTAGAATCGGGAGCAAATAGAGTAGAGTTAGAAACCGCACGGCACCCTGACTGCGCACCCACCGTTCAAGCCAGGACACTGAGGCACATGCAGGCTCTGCATTACCCTGTTTGGGTTTACATTAGTTTAAGATTGAGTGAAGAGTATTTTGGTTTTAGTTTTTGAGCAGTCTTATGCAGCCCTAGATGGCTCTAACTCCCAACCTCCCAAGTGTTGATTACTTTTTCCGTATCTATGTATGTTTGGGTTTGGGGGCAGTATGCACTCTGAGTGCGGACTGGAATGACAGTGGAGATGCTCAGAAAGTGCTGGAATGACAACTGGGTTAACAGAAATAATTGTGTTGGCATTTTTCAGTAGTTGCCCAAAATCACCTCACTTGATGAAAATTGGAACCAGGCTGTAGCACAACCTGGGATCCTAGCACTCTAGGGTCTCCGTGAGGCAGGAAAATCACAAATACAAGACCAGCCTGGCTAGAGTGAGCTCTGGGCCACCCTAAGATACAGCCAGATCTTGTCACAAAAGAAAAAAAAGGGGAAATCAGCCGGGCGGTGGTGGCGCACGCCTTTAATCCCAGCACTTGGGAGGCAGAGGCAGGCGGATTTCTGAGTTCGAGAGTTCGAGGCTAGCCTGGTCTACAGAGTGAGTTCCAGGACAGCCAGGACTACACAGAGAAACCCTGTCTCGAAAAACCAAACCAAAAAAAAAAAAAAAAAAAAAGGGGAAATCAAAATGAAAAGTGGGGGCAGCAAGATTGGCCTGTGGCCAAGCTTGGTGACCTAAGTTTGATCCCCAGAACCTACAGGGTGGAAGGAGAGAACCTACACCTACAAGTTGTCCTTTAACCTTGCCACATGCTCCAACCCCACAAAATAAATAAATCAATGTAAATTGTATTTTATTTAGTTTAGTTTTGTTTGTTTTGAGCTAGGGTCTCTCTCTATGTATCCCTGACTGTCCAGAAACTCACTAAAATCTGCCTGCCCCTTCCACTGCCTCTTGAGTGCTGGGATTAAAGGCATGTACCAACAAAATCAGCTAGGCTAATATGTTTGTCTAACATCTATGAAGTCCTGGATCCCAGCTCCAGTACAGCCTAAATGGGGTGTAGTGCACACTCAAGAAAAATGGCAAGAGAATTGAAAAGGCCAGAGTAATTTTTTAGCTACATTGCAAGTTCAAGGTTAACCCAGGATACATGAGAAGTCGTCTGGAAAAATAAGACTTGGTTTATCTGAGACAGGGTCTATGAAGCCTGGGCTGGCCTTGAACTCCAAGTCCTGCCTCAGTCAGTCCCACGCTTGGTTGTTTCACTGGTGTGAGTCATTATGCTGGGAAGTGTTTGTTTGTTTGTTTGTTTGTTTTTAAAAGATTTGTTTATTATCTATGCAGCATTCTGCCTGCAGGCTAAAAGAAAGCACTAGATCTCATTATAGATGGTTGTGGGCCACCATGTGGTATCGTATCGGGGAATTGAACTCAAGAGCTTTGAAAGAACAGACGGTGCTCTTAACCTCTGAGCCATCTCTTAAGCCCACTGGATTTTTTTTTTTTTTTTTTTTTTTTTTTGGTTTTTCAAGACAGGGTTTCTCTGTGTAGCCCTGGCTGTCCTGGAACTCACTCTATAGACCAGGCTGGAGGAAATTTTTATTGAAGTGTCTGTAACATAGATGAAGCAGTCACATCTGCTCATTTACATATTGATACATAGTAGTCCCGTGGATGTTACAAAGTAGTCAAAGAATTGAGACAGAGACTGGGTGACACACTAGGTCTAAAATATCCACCATCTAGAGTCCAGCTGGAGCTGTCTTGCCTAGCATGCACAAAACCGAAGCGCCACAGAATCTGGGTATGACAGCAGGAGGAAGGTATAGGGTGAGGGTTCTAAGTTCCAGGTAAGGGGCCTGGTGGCAAAGGCTTTTAATCCCAGAACTCAGGAAACAGAAACAGGAGGATCTCTGTGAGTGTGAGGCCACCCTGGTCTACATAGTGAATGTAGAACAACCAGGGGTACAAAGTGAGACCTTATGTGGGGGAGGGGTAGTAAGATAGTTATATAAAATAATTCAGAAACAAAACTCTTCCAGCTTTATGACTGAAGTGGGTAAAAAGAGCCAGCTATGGCATGAATGAGCCAGAAGGCGTGGCTGCTGTTTGCCCACTGTCTGTCTCTGTCTCCCTTTCAAAGAATTTGTATCTTATCCATTTCCTTTAAACCCCGTTGAGCATGAAGAGCAGCAGGCCTGGCACCAGGCTCTGGAAATCTAGATTTCCCCTGTGTGGTCTCCAGGGACCTTAGCTTCGTAGTCACAGATGGAAAGATTCAGGGAATTAAGATGGAGGTGGAGATGACAGGAGAGAATAGGGCCCTTGGGCCTGCCTGGTGCCTGAGGTAGGAGTAGGATGGGGGATCTGAATCCCATGAGAAAAAAGAAGAGAGAGACATGTCAGAGTAGGGAGCCAGCTTTGAGCTGAGGCTTGGATGTGTGGATGAATACCCAAGTCTGGGCTGCTGAAGTGAGTCAGTGGGTAAAGGAGCATGCCTCCAGACCTCACTCTGAGTTTGAAGCCTGCCATCTACATGGTGGATGGAGAGACCCGATTCTCCACACTTGTTCTCTGACTCTCACGTATGTGCTGTGACACATACTTCTCTTACCCTAACACGTATACAAAGTAAACTCAAATCAATGAAAGAGCTGGGTGCAACAGGACCTTTGGTCCCAGCACATGGGAGGCAGAGGTAAGCAGATATAGATGAGTTTCAGACCAGCCAGCTCTCTGTGGAGAGACAAACAAAAAGAAAGAAAAACTATTCCGAGGTGTTTTTTTTTTTTTTTTTTTTTTTTGGTTTTTTGAGACAGGGTTTCTCTGTGTAGCCCTGGCTGTCCTGGAACTCATTCTGTAGACCAGGCTGGTCTCGAACTCAGAAATCCACCTGCCTCTGCCTCCCAAGTGCTGGGATTAAAGGCGTGTGCGCCACCACCGCCCGGCCCTATTCCAAGTTTTAATTGGTGGACAACTTGGGGTTGTTTGATTGGTTGGTTTATTTTGAGACAGGGTCTCACTATGTAGTTCTGAGTGTCCTAGACTTGCTGTGTAGACCAGTCTGGTTTCAAACCAAAGATCCACCTGCCTCCACCTCTGCAGTTATGGGATTTTAGACACAAGCCACTTTTTACCAGCCACATTGGTTTTGTGTGTTTTAATATTTTAAATTATTTATTTTATGTGTAGAATGTCTTGCAGACTTGTGTGCTCAACTGGTGCCTAAAGAAGTAAGAAGAGGGTATTGGATCCCCTGGAACTGTAGTTACAACCTGTTGTGAGCCACCATGTGGATGCTGGGAATCAAACCTAGGTCCTTGGCAAGAGCAGCCAGGGCTCTTAACTGCTGAGCCATCACTCCAGCCCCTAGTTTTATTTCATTTCATTCCATTCCATTCCATTTTTTGAGATAGGGTCTTAGTATCCCTGCCTGGCCTGGAGTTTACCATGTATCTGCCTCAGCTTCTAGAGTGTTAGGATGTGACACATGCACTATTAAACCATCTTCAGGTAGCAAAGGAAAACAAAGACGTTTGGAATTGGCCATTATGGCTCATGGCTGTCATTGCAGCACTCTGGAGGTACTGGAAAGAGCTTGAGGGGTACAAGGCCACTCCCGCTGTGCTGTCTGGCTTTATGTCAATCTGGCACAAGCTTTGGTCATCTGACACAGTGGAACCACAACTGAAAAGATGCCTCAATAGGACCGGCCTGTAGAGGCCCCTGTGAGGCATTCATTAATTAGTGATTGATGGGGGAGGGCCCAACCCATTGTGGACAATGTCACTCTGGGCTGGTGGTCTTGGGTTCTATAAGAAAACAGGCTGAGTGAGTAAGCCACGAGTCTTATAAGCAGCATGGCCTCTGCATCAGCTCCTGCCTCCAGGATTCTTCCCTGACTTCCTTTCAGGATGGACTACAAGCCGTAAGATGAAACAAACCCTTTCTCCTCAAGTTGCTTTTGGTCATAGTGTTCATCACAGAAATAGAAACTGACTAAAATACTTGGTGAAATAGGGAGTTTTAGGCTAGCCTAGGTTACATGAGAGCCTGTCTTAAAAAGTAGTGTTTTATTTTCTTTAGTAGCTATACAACCTTCGTTGTATATTCTTGCTCTACTAAGGAAGCAAAATTAAGCTTTTACATATTATATCTAGAGGTGTGTGGTATATGCACAGGTGCATGCAGGTGTACACACACGAGTCCATGAGTGACTAAGGAGCCCAGAGTGGACACCTTGCGTGGACATTCTATATGTAAAATAAATAGTTTAAAATATTAAAGCACACAAAACAAAACCAATGTGGCTGGTAAAAAGTGGCTTGTGTCTAAAATCCCATAACTGCAGAGGTGGAGGCAGGTGGATCTTTGGTTTGAAACCAGACTGGTCTACACAGCAAGTCTAGGACACTCAGAACTACATAGTGAGACCCTGTCTCAAAATAAACCAACCAATCAAATAACCCCAAACTCTCCTGACTCCCTAAGACTGAGCCTTACTTCCTCACTGAACCTGGAGTTTGAGTGATGACCATGGAGCCCCAGCTTCCTCCAGTCTCCACCTCACACACACATGCACACACACTCAAACACATACACACAAATACATACACATGTGTACACACACATGCACACATACATACATACAAATGCACACATACACACATGCACACACTCACACATGCACACATACATACACATGCACACAAATACACACACATGTATATACATACACACACAAACACACATGGTGAATTACAGGCACGTGCAGCCACACCTAGATTGTTCTGTTTTCTTTTTTGAGACAGGGTTTTTCTGGACACCACTTTTAAGTCTTTTTTAAGTGAGCCCTAGGGATTAAAACTCAGGACCTCTTGTTGCCACCTCTGTGAGGACTCTCACATCCTCAATCTTCAGCCGTCTCTCCAACCCCTGCTTTTTAAGTGTGTGTGTACATGCCAAGACACATGTAGAGGTCACAGGACAACATGTAAGAATCAGTTTTCTCCTTTCACCAAGTTCAGACTTGGCAGCAAGTACCTTGACCGGCTGAGACATCTTATGGGCATGTTGTGTTGATTTTCAGTTGTATTGATTTTTCAGACGGTGCTTCATGTAACCCAGGCTAGCCTCAAATTGCCATGCACCTGAGGCTGACTTCAAACTTCTGACCCTCCTGTTTCTTCCTCCCAAATGCATGGATGTGTGCCATCAAACCCACTTTATATGATGCTGGGAATGGAACCCCAGCCCTCATGCACACTAGCTGAGCTTAAAACTGAGCCACATCTCCAGAAGGTAATTTTGTAACCTAAAGTATCCCAATGGTAGGACTGAGGGTGTGCCCAGAGAGAGAGAGCAGGTGCTAAGTATGTGTCAGGTCCTGTGTCCCCTCTGTCCCCAGTATAAAAAACAACAGCAATTCAAACAAAATGACAAGCTGGGCAGTATTGGCAAATGCCTTTACTCTCAGCACTTGGGATACAGAGGCAGGTGGGTCTCTGAGTTTGAGGACAATCTTGGTCTAGAGATGGAGTTCCTGGACACCCAGGGCTACACAGGTAAACTATGTCTTAACAAAATAAAAAACTAATAAGAGTCTTTTCTTTAAAAAATTAGCTGTGTGTATGTGTATGAGTGTGCATACACACGTGTCATCACATGCATGTGAAAATTAGAAGACAGCTTTGGAAGGTGTCTCCCTCTTTCCACTCATGTGTTCCCAAAAGTGTAATCAGGTGGTCAGGCTTGGCTGTAAGCGCCTCACCCACTGGGCCCTAGCAAAGCTTGCATCATGCACAAAGGCGTGTGGAGCAGAGGGTCTTGGAAGCAGACAGCCTGTTAATGGTGTGCGCTTTTAATGATTTTCAAAAGTAGTTAGGAGATATTAATTGGGTAAGACCTCATCTGAAGCTTACCATAGGAGAACTTAAACCTCTGTTTGATACCCTCAAGGGGGATGCAAATCCTAATTCCCCTCAACAGTTAACTGATGAGGGACGGATAGCTTTGCAGAAGGTGGAGGAAGCTGTTAGCCAACAGCAGATACATTATATAGACTGTAACCAATTGTTGGCTGCTTGCGTCCTTGCTACAACTCATGCGCCCACAGCAGTCCTTTGGCAAAATGGACCATTAATGTGGATTCATCTTCCTTCATCTCCAAGTAAAGTTTTTACACCCTATTATGAAGCTGTAGCTTTGTTAATGGAGAATTGTAGAATAGAATCAAGAAAATATTTTGGGAAAGAACCTGATGAAATATTTATTCCTTATTCCAAACAGCAGTTAAATTGGTCATTGCAGAATACTGATATTTGGCCTATTGCATGTGCAAACTTTTCAGGCAAAATTGATAATCATTATCCAAAAGATAAGTTGTTACAGTTTTCCTCTATGCATGCTTTTGTATTTCCTATAAGTTTACGCATGCAGCCCATAGAAAATGTGCTTACTGTGCTTACAGATGGCTCATCTAATGGGAAGGCAGCATACGTGATAGGATCGCATGTTCATTCTCTTGAGTTTCCTCCTGCTTCAGCACAAATAATTGAACTACGTGCTGTAGCTGCTGGTTTTGAACTGCTGAAAAACCAAGCTTTTAATTGGTATCCTGATAGCCAGTCTATAGCTCACATAGTTTACAACTACTTGAAACTGTTCCTTCTTTAGATACTGCTAATTCTCAATTTGCAATTACTTATGCAAATACAACTCAATTTAAGAGAACATACAGTTCCTTATTTTGTAGGACATCTAAGAGCGCATACTGGACTGCCTGGACCCCTTAGTGAGGGCAATGCCAGAGCAGATTTGTATACCAGGAAGGTTATAGGCCTTTGTGACTTGTGCTCAGTGGTTCAGTGCAAATCTCTGTTACTAGGGGTCAGTGGGGACATGAGTTGGAGGTCCCTACAGGATATTGAGTGCAATGTCATTCTGACTCACTCATGCATGCTTTCTGTTGGAAGGCCTGCAGACAACCCAGAATAGCCGATTCTACGCCATCTCTGCGAGCTTCAAGCCATTCAGCAACAAAGGGAAGACCCTAGTCATCCAGTACACGGTGAAGCATGAGCAGAAGATGGACTGTGGTGGTGGTTACATCAAGGTGTTCCCGTCTGACCTGGATCAGAAGAATATGAATGGAAAGTCTCAGTACTACATCATGTTTGGTAAGTTCAGCAGCAGAAGCCAAGTGTTTCCAACATTATACAGAGGCTCTGCTAACTGGAAGTAACATAACAGCATTGAACCTAAAGTTTATAGCACTTTTAAAGTAACTAATGCAGGCTGAACATTCTCAGACCTAAAAACCAAAACACCAAAGGACTTAGACTCTGAATCTGGCTTTAAAAAAATTATTCATTTAATTTACATGGATGTGTGTGCCTAGGTGAGTTTATGTGCAGCATGCCATCGCAGATGACTGTAGAGACCAGAAGAAGTTGTTAGTTCCCCTGGAACTGGAATTAAAGGTGGTTGTGAGCTATCAGGTAGGTGCTGGGAACAGAACCTGGGTCCTCTGCAAGAGCAGCCAGAGCTCTTAACCACTGAGCCATCTCTATAGCTCCAGTAACTTGAGGGGGTCAATTCTTTCCTTCTTGCATTTGAGTTCAAACCTTCAAGCCTCATGGCAAGTGCTTTTGCTTTCTGGGCCATCTCATACAGTTGTGTGTTGGGTATGAAACCCAGGACCATCTCATACAGTTGTGTGTTGGATATGAAACCCAGGACCTTGTACACACTAACACTCATCTACAAACTCAGACCTGAAACTTACTGAGTGCCGAGACCACATTTAGCCAGGCACACACCTGCATTCACAAACATGTACACACTGAAAAAAGATATTTTTGATAGGGTGTCTCTGTGTAGTACTGGCAATCCTGGTATTTACTGTGTAAGCCAGGGTAGCCTTTAACTTCCAGAGGTCCTCCTGTCTCTGCATCCCAGTGCTGGAATTAAACAGGTGCACCAGCACACCTGGCTAAAATATATCAAAATTTGAAGAGTGTGAGATGTTAGTACCAGGCATGGTGGTAAACCTCTGCCATCCCAGTCCCAGCACTTACAAGAGGCAGCAGGAGGGTGGAGAGTGTGGTGCCAGTCTGGCCAGAATAACAAGACCTTGTCTCCAGAGAGCCAAACAGTGACACAGTCTGGGATTTCAGGGGGACCCTGCACAGATGCAGTCAACATATATATCCCAGGTGACAAACTCTGGCCTCTAAAACATGTCCAGATTGTCAGGTAAGGGATGGTGGACTTTCTGGTTATTTCTAAAAGTGTTGTGAAGCTTAAAATATTTGAAGTGTAGGGCTGGAGAGATTGCTCAGTGGTTAATTGACACTGACTGCTCTTCCAGAGGATCTAGGTTCAATTCCCAGCACCCATATTGCAGTTTGAGACTGTCTGTAACTCCAGTTCCAGGGGATCTGACATCCTCACACAAACATACAGTGCAGACAGAACACTAATGCACGTGAAATCAAAGTAAATAAATAAATAAATAAATAAATACTTTAAAAAAATATTTGAACTGTGAGCTGGGACTGGGCTGAGTTGGTAGAGTGCTTGTCTAGCATTCAGAAGCTCTGGATTCCATCCCTAGCATCATGTGAATAAAGCACGTATCATCCCAGCTCTTGGGAGGTGGAGGTAGAAATTCCAGGTCAGCCTGAGCTTCAGTGAAACCCTGTCTCAAAACTCCCCAAAATGTAGAAAATAAAAACTGGGGAGATGGCTGAGTGGGTAAATGTATCTAAGTTCCAATTCTCAGAAGCTACATAAAAAGTCAGATGAGGCTGTCTGTATGTGCCTGCAATCCCAACACTGGGAGGCAGAGACAGGAAGATCCTGAGAGCAGCTCAGCTGGCTTGTCTAGCTGAAAGTAATAGCTTCTCTTTCAGTGAGAGCCCTGCCTCAAGGGCATACAATGGCAACTGACAGAGACAACAGGAAGTCTTCTTTCTGCCGCCAGCATGTGCACTGGGAAGAACACTCTACACGTTCATGTGTAGGCATCACACATGCACTCAAATACCCGTGTATGCATGTACTTGGGTAGAGACCAGGCTGGCCTCAAACTCAGAGATTCTCCTGCCTCTGCCTCCCAAGTGCTGGGACCAAAAGTATGTGCCACAACCACCCAGCTTTGTTTCTCATTTTAAAGAACATATACATTTGGGAGCTGGAAAGATAGTTCAGGGTAGCCATCCAGTGGCCATGGATGAACTGGGTTTACCTGAAAGGGGGGCTGGAAATGAAAAAGAGAGGAGGGGTAGAAGGAGAAGCATGAAGCCAAGATAAAGTTTCTGATCAAGGCTCAAAGTTTAATATTCAGCACTGAGTTTATATAGGGGAAGCCCACCAACCCATCCTTTGTTTCAGCCGGATTATGTCACAAAGCAGGCTCAGCAGGCAGTCTTTCTTCTAAGTTCCTGTACAAGTTGCATGTGCAGCCAGAGCAGATGAGTCCACCTGGGTCGTTAAGATCCATTGTGGCAAGCAAGGTCTATTCAGCCTGCTCAAGGCTGGGAAGGGCACAATTCCCCCTTTTTTGTTTTTTAAAGATGAACAGTACCACTACCATGATGGGGGCACAAGATTTCTTATTTTCTGTAATCCCATCTAGGGTAAAGAGTGACCAGGCGACCATGTCTGGCTTATTTCTGTGTCTATATTGCTCCTTCTTACCTGTCAAGGAGTGCAAACATAGCGTTGATGTATGTCTCTGTCTTAGGTCAATAGGAGCTCAACAACACTCTTACCCGTCTCTGAGTACCAGCCTTCTGTAGCATGCACACTCTTTCCCATACAGACCAAAGCCACGAAGGACATATGAATATGCACTCAATGCATTTCTTCATAGCAATGGATAACTGTCATGGTGAATAGCTGAGCTTGCTGAGAGTGATCCTGTATGAAGGCAACCAATGTGTTTAAGTACAAGGTCCAAAAGTTAAAAGCAACAAAATTATAATTAATGGTCCAAGCAGTGTAAAAATTAAAGTTGTAAGCAGGAATGTCCCAGGTATCTAATCCAGTTGCTAATTGGCAAAGATCAAACACAAAGTCTGGCTACCAGATATGTGGGGGATGGCTTTGGGTATTGATAGAAAATACTTGCTCTCCAGTTGTTCTCCAGTAAGAACTCTAGGTTAACTCAGCTGACTGGTAGGGATTCTGAGCCGTCTTCATCATTAGTATCATAATCATTAGAAAGCTCAGGATCTGTGTCCACTTGACGAACCAATCTTTCAGGCAGCCATCAAGCTTCATTTTCTTTTTGTGAAAAAAACATAAAACATAGACAGAACCTTGTTCCCAAATTAAAACACAGTCAGAACCATTCCATGTGTTAGTTAGGGAGTCTTGCCACTTAAACATGGAAAATGATCTGGAAGTGACTGGATGCCAGTGGCAATCCGCTGCAGACTGACCTTTAGCATCCGTTTGTAAAAAATGTAAAATAAATAAGACAAAAGCAAGGTGTGCTTTCAGTGATCATAGAGGCTATATCCCACCCCCTTTTGTTTTTAAACGCCAATTTTTCAGAGTGCAATGCACATGTTCAACAATCCCTTGTCCCATTGGGCTATAGGGAATCCTAGTAATATAGGTAATATTGAATTGTCAACAGAATGTCTCAAATGCATACCTGCAATAGCCAGTTCCATTATCTGTTTTTATCTGATTTGGAATGACCAGCATAGAAAAACAGTGTAGGCAATGACTAATTATATTTTTAGTTGCTTCTCATGTTAAAGCAGTTGCAACTAGAAAGCCTGAAAAGGTGTCAAGTCGCATGTGCATATTTTAATTTTCCAAAATCAGAAATGAGTAACATCCATTTGCTGTAATTGATTAGGAATAAGTTCTCAATTAATACCTTTATGAAGAAATTGAGGACATTGAGAACAAGTTTTTACAATTGACATGCCCATTCTCTAGAAGTACCAAATTGTTGTCTCAAGCTATTACTATTTTTGATGATAAAAGAATGAGATTGTGTGGCCAATTTTTCCTGTGTAAGGCCTATAACCTGCCTGGTATACAAATCTGCTGTGGCATTGCTCTCACTAGGGTTCAGGCAATCCAGTATGAGCTTTTAAATGTCCTATAAAGTTAAGGAATAGTACATGTTTCTTTTTTTTTTTTTTTTTTTTTTTTTTTTTTTTTTTTTTTTTTTTTTT